GAAAGAGAGAGAGAGAGAAACATCCATGTGCAGTTGCTGGGGGCCGTGGCCTGCAAGCCAGGCATGTGCCCTGACTGGGAATCGAACCTGCGACGCTTTGGTTCGCAGCCCGTGCTCAATCCACTGAGCTACACCAGCCAGGGCAACAGTCTTCTCTTCCTTGGCCAGCTGTTCAAGACCAGAAAACCGGTCTTAGTGTGCAGGCCACGCACGCACACGGCGGGCGGGCCTCCCAGGCAGCCAGGCGGCAGCTCTGGCTCACGGCGGGTTTGGGGACCAGGCACCGCCAGTGTCCCAGGGTTCCCGGGCATGCTCCCCGGGTCCGGAGGAATCCTATGGCTGAATGGTGCCACCCATTGGAGGGGCGTGGGGGAGTGGGGTGGGGGGCGGATTTGCTGGCCAGCATTTGTACGGACAGTGGTGCCCTGGGGAAAAACACAGGGGCTTTCCAGGCGGCTACACTCAGCACACAGCTGAGCACCTGTGTTTCCCGCCCAGGCTGCAGCCTCTCCACCTGCAGAGCAGGAAGGGCCTTTGCCATGGGCTCAAACGTCCCGTGCAGCCTCCAAAGCTCTGCACGGAGCACCGAGCACACTGCCCTGCGGAGAGCAGAGAGTGGACACCCCCAAATGGGCCGGCCGCCGTCCTTCCGATTTTCATCCTCCTCTCCCCCTGCAGGCAAAGGTCCCGTCCTACCCGTGCCCCCGAAGTTCAGGTGCGGTGTTGACTCTAGGGCTGTGACCCCGGCAGGGAGGATGAGCCAGGGCCCTGTGAATGAGTCCACAGTGCAGGCGGAAAGGTCAACGGCGGGACAGGCCACTCGGGTTTCAGCGCAGGAAGTCACAAACAAGTCCCCTGCCCGCAGCTCCCGCAGCTCCAACTCCAGCACACGAAAGGGAGGCAGGTTGGAGGGGGGTGCGGTTCAGTCCTTCCCACCGCTCTCTCGTGCTCTCGGGGCCTCTTCCTGGGACACTGCACTGTATCAACTCTGCACCCCACCCCCCCTTCCTCTGTCTTCCTCACAACTATGTAGCATTTACAGCCTTCCTCTGTCCTCCTCGAAACTATGTAGCATTCACAGCCGATAACAAGATAACAAATACACCGTTACCGCGTGCAGTCACAAAGTAGCAAGAGTCCTGGTTAGACAACTTTTTCTTTTTTCTTTTTCACGTGGAAACTAACCCGTGATGGTTTGTAACAAGCAGTGCCGTTTCAGCCCGCGTTCTTAGTTTATCTACGCACCAGGCCCGTCCCATAGACACTCAGGGCGAAACTTGCTGAGGGGGAGCACAGCATCCACGCCCACCTGGATGTTGGCAGTTTAAGAAGAAAAAACAAACAAAAGAAACACTTCTTCAGCAGGCGTGTGCTTTTTATTTCGCTACGTTGAGGAATTGGGGAGAGGCTCGCGTTACTGAGAACGTCGGACCTCTGACTATGGGCAAGCAGGACTCACAGGCGGGGTGCGCAGACAGGTTAGCACGGAGCACGCAGGAGCGCTCTGCATGTCCCTTGCCCCCTCCCCTGACGCCCTTGCTGCTTCCGCAGGCCCACCCACCACGCCCTCTGCACGGAGTCCCCAGGCCTCCCCTACCCGTCCCACAGGCTCCTGGCCCCGAGGACAGGGAGCTCCACCTTCCAGCCTCGCCGCATCTCACGGTGCAAGACCGGAACCGAGCCCGGCTCTGTGCGGCCGCGTCCCCCTCCCCCCACACCTCCCTGCACGGGGCCACGCCACCGTGAGGCAGCGGGTCTCCCATCAGCACCCAATGGTCCCGGGTGACACGTGAACCACCTTGAGCCATTGCAATGCACAACTGCAAGCACGAGGGACCAAGAACTCCTTCGGTGACGTTTTTCCTTTTTGCCACGTGTTCCCAATACGGAAGCACACATCCAAGCCATCGGCCACCCTTCCCTTCTGCCAATGACACGGGGAGGACGCCCCAGCGGCTGGTGGCTCTGCTGGTGGGAGACTCGTCCCGGGCAGCCCAGGGGTCGTGGGCGGCGACTCTGGGGAGCGTTTCAGGAACCGGGCGCTCGTATGAGTCGGAGGGCTCTGGAACGGCTCCCGCTTCCACAGGACGCCGCCGCAGCCTCCCTGGGAGGGACGGGCGGGCACGCTCCCAGTGGCTCACAGATGGCTTTTCCCTCTTTCAGTGAGATAGATACACAGCCAGACAGACAGAGAGAGAGACAGCATCCTCACCTGAGGCTATGTTTACTCAGTTTAGCGAGAGGAGAGGGGAAGGGGGAGAGAGAGAGAGAGAGGGAGGGAGGGAGAAAGGAAGGGAGGGAGGAAGAGAAGTCGACCTAAAAGATCTCCTCCAACACCAGACGTGGAAACGTTTCCCAAGACAGCATGAGCAACAACAAGGGCTACAGCGACACACTTCTCTCGCACCCCGAGTGACCCTAACACCGGCGAACACGCCTGCCTTCCTGCCGAACGACTGTAACCCACACGAAAAACCCACCGAGTGCGTCTGGCAGGAGGGAAGGGACTTTCTGAAGAGGCCCCGAGGCCTAAGGAAATTCACAAAGGATGGCCAACGTTCAGTAAAGAATCTTAGGCTACACAGTGTCCCAAAGCAAAAAAAAAAATTAACTGTTTTTTGTTTTGCCTTCTTTTTTTTTTTTAATAGGCTAAATAGCCTCTGAGTGGATTCTCCAGGGACTTTGACGGGGTGGAAACATCCTCTGTCTGTGGTGTGTGCTGCCTGCACATCTCCCAAAGAGAACTCACTGAGGCCGTGAGAGATCGCAAAGCTAGCCGTATCCCTCACCTCTGCTCAGGCGAAGTGTCTGAACTTCCTTTCCCAACACGGCGCCAATCAGCCTGCTGCTCTGTCGCATGCAATCAAGAAACGTGCTCAAGCCCTGGCTGGCATAGCTCAGTGGATGGAGCTCGGGCTGCGAACCACAGTGCCGCAGGTTCGATCCCCAGTCAGGGCACATGCCTGGGTGGCAGGCCACGGCCCCCAGCAACCGCACATGGATGTTTCTCTCTCTCTCTTTCTCCCTCCCTTCCCTCTCTAAAAATAAATAAATAAAATCTTTATAAAAAATAATAATGTAATTAAAATATTTGGGGGGGGGAGAAAGAAGGGTCCTCAGACCTCACGAGACAACCCTGCCGGGTGGAACTGGCGAGAAGGCCGGCCCTTCCTGGCCTCTGTTTGTTCAATGCAGTTCAGGCACGCGAAGCTGCCGTGGACACATGTATTCTAGAGAATTCCCTGCATGGCGAGGACCCCAGACACAGCGTACCACGCACTGGACAGTGCCCTGCGCCATTTTTACCCCCGTGTCCCCCCACGCATTTGAACGAGGGGCCGTGGACCCTCTTGAAAGCCGATGGAGCACGTCGGGCTGGAACGACCTGGGAGCAGGTGGCTGGAGGTCCCCGTTGCCGGGAGAAACGGGACCACCCTTTTCTTCTCTCGGGGCCACCGTCACACGCGTGCCTAGAGACAGCCTGAGGACGCACGCTCGGTAATTCTGCTCCCGTTCATTGCCCCTGTCCGGAAAAGCCCCGGTCTGCATCCTCGACCCCAAAAGACGGTTGATTACCCGCAATGACGCGGGTCTAGTTTGATGCAATCCAGTCAATCACAGATGCACCAACTTCTTCCACAGGCTCAAAGGACCCCCAGCCTCCAAACCAGGGGAATCAGCGTATCCCCAAAAGCCCCCATTTCCTGCTGTACCTGGCACGCAGGTGAAGGGGGCAGGCGAGGGCAGGCACCCTGCAGAGACGTCGGAGCCGGCAGGCAAATGCCGGAACCCTGAGCGCGGACAACACACCTCGCCACCGTCCAGGGGGCCGGGAGACCGCTCATCCCGTCACGCCGGCTCCCACTTTCCGAAAACCCAGCCAAGCCAGAAGAACAGTCGCGTCTCGGCTGAGCAGAAAGAGTGTCCAGGGACCGGGCGGTCAAGTGGAGCCGAGACACGGCCCCGTGGCAGGGGGCAGGCAAGGGGCACTCGGACCTCTCTCTGTCACACCGTCGGAGTCACGGGTCGCCAGCCCGGCCGATGCCCCGGCTGCTCCTGTTTGTCCTCAAAAGCACATCTTCCGTCCCCAGCCCCGCATGGCCGAGGGGCTTGTCCATCCGTCCCTCCTCCCGACCTCGGTGACCTTCCCCTCTCCATGGGACAGGGCAACAGGGAGCCCCTTCTGCTGTGGGAGAGACATCGGTACTCAGGGCATCCGTTCACTGTGAACGACTCTTGTAAACACATTTTTAAAAAAATATTGTATTATTTTTATTTTTATTTATTGTTTTAGATTTTATTTATTTATTTTTAGAGAGGGAAGGGAGGGAGAAAGAGAGAGAGAGAGATAGAGAGAAACATCCATGTGCGGTTGCTGGGGGCCGTGGCCTGCCACCCAGGCATGTGCCCTGACTGGGAATCGAACCTGCGACACTTGGGTAAAAACATTGTATTCATTTATTTTTAGAGAAAGGGGAAGGCAGGGAGAGAAACATCAATGGGAGAAACATCAATCGGTTGCCTCCTGGACGTGCCCGGACAGGGGGACTGGACCTGCAACCCATGCACGAGACCTGCCCGGGAATCGAACTGGAGACCTTTCCCTCTGCAGGACACCCTCCAACCAGCGGAGCCACCCTGACTCAGAACACCCTGACACAGGCCAGCAGAACAGGGTGAGAAGTCTGATGTCTTCCCACGTGGCGTCCAGCTCCAGTCCCTGGGCGCCAGGGACATTCCACACGCCTTCAGGAGGAACAGACATGCAAAGCATGGGTTCCTTCCCCTCGAACGGGCCCTGGTTTCACTCGCGACAAACACAGGGTTGGAAATGACCTTGCCGGGAGCATAACCCACCCCTGCCATGGCCACACCTGCACGCGGCACGGCGGCGGTTCATATCCCTCCGCGCACGGGGCCTCCCCGCGGTGCCGACTGACGCCAAGCCCGCCCCTGCACGTAACTAGTTCACATGCTTCTGTTTCCACCGCCTCTCTTACCTCACGTGCGTTTTCTAGGTCGTCTGCTGGTCGGACAGGCTAGTGCGGTGTCCAGACTGGCAGGGAGGTGTCGGGAGAGGCAAGGTGTTGGGAAAGAACCGCGGAGCTTGTAGCTGCAGAGGAGAGACAGGTGCATGCAGAGGCGGCGTGGGGGCGGCAGAACGGGGGAGGGGTTCAAAAAGAACAAACTTGCGGTTACAAGAGGAGCCAGTCCCCGAGATCCAATCCAATGCAGAGCATGGGGACTACAGTTTCCCAACACTGTTGCACATCTCAGTGCTGTGCAGAGTACGCCTTGAAAGTTCTCATTAAAAATAAAACAAGTAGCAACACTGTGTGCTGGGCTATCATTTTGTAATGAATACACGTATCCAATCATTCTGTTCTACACTTGAAACTAATACATTATGTGTCAATTACATCTCAAAAGCTTTTTTTTTTTTTTTAGGTTTTATTTATTTACTTTTAGAGGGGAAGGCAGGGAGGAAGAGAAACAGCAATGTGGGGGTTGCCTCTCACGCACCCCCTACTGGGGACCTGGCCTGCAACCCAGGCACGTGCCCGGACTGGGAACCGAACTTGCGACCTTTTGGTTCATAGGCCTGTGCTCCATCCACTGAGCTACACCAGCCAGGGCTCTCCGTGAAACGCTTTTTTAAGGAAGTGACAACCCAAGGGTGGGAAAGTCCTCTGTGAGCACACCTTCTCCCTGCATCCCAGCAGCCGGAACCCCCACAGGTGGGTTCCGGACGGACAAGAGCCGTGTGCTCACGACTACCGTACGCACCCTAGAGAACCCGTTCAGTTAGTCACGACTAACCTGGAAAAAGGAAGTTTTTTATGACAAAATTATTTCCATCCCTGGCAAGCAAGCCCCAACCCAAGCAAGTCCCAAGGGACCAAGCAGGCTTGAGAACAGCGATGTTCAACCTTTGACCTCTCTCGGCACACACGAGGGGAAAAGTCACCACAAAAGTCCTGAGGCAGACCAGAAAGTTTATTTTCTGCCGATCTGACCCCCCCCAAAAGGTGTAATTGTGATTCATTCACACCAGACAGCTATGCTTGTGCTGGCTGTTGCCATTTTTCTTTTTTTTTTTTCTTAAATAAGATTTTATTTATTGATTTTAGAGAGGGAAGGGAGGGAAAGAGAGAGAGAGAGAAATATCCATGTGCGGTTGCTGGGGGCTGTGGCCTGCAACCCAGGCATGTGCCCTGGCTGGGAATCGAACCTGCGACACTTTGGTTCTTCGCAGCCCAAGCTCAATCCACTGAGCCACACCAGCCAGGTCATTTTTCCATTTGGCAATCGCCAGGGAACAGAGGTCGATGCCCCTGACTGAACAATCAAGTAGGGCATGTCTTTAAAATTCTTGCGGCACCCCCGTTAAGTCGCTGCGTGAGATCCATGCTCCCCCCATTACATGTTCAAAGGAAAGTTATCTGTGGTCCGTGAAGGGGAGGCACAGAGCCTCACCTGGCCACATTGTTCTCCGGTCATCCAGCCAGCAAGCGGCCCCCCGATTGTTCTCATACTTCCAACGTCGCAATCCCCCAAACCAAGCACAGCGCGCCTGGGAGGAGGACTGAGCCTGCGAGGGCCTCTCCGTGGCACGGTGCCCTTCCTCCACGCAGCTTGAAGCTTTCTGTTTGCCACTCGGGCACCGAGCCCCAACCTGCCATGCACTGGCCCGGAAGACCGGAAGCGTGATTCACAGCAAGGTGTAGAAGGCTGGTGCGTGGCACGCTGGTACGTGAGATGACCCGTCAGCACGGACGGCGGTGGACACCACTCGCAGCCGACGGACAACGACCACAGGCGCACCCTCGCGGCACGAACCTCGAGGCGTGATCTTTGCTGTCAAGAACGCTGATCTTGGCCCCGGCTGCTGTGGCTCAGTGGACTGAGCACGGGCCTGTGAATCAAAGGGTCACCGGTTCGATTCCCAGTCAGGGTGCTTGCCTGGGTTGCGGGCCAGGTCCCCAGTAGGGGGCGTGTGAGCAGCAACCACACATTGATGTTTCTCTTCCTCTCTTTCTCCCTCCCTTCCCTCTCTCTCTAAAAAAATAAATAAAATCTTCAAAAAAAAAAAAAAAGAAGGACGATGACCTTGCTCATGGGCAGAAAGAAAATACGCACTTGAAAGAAAGAGTTGGCAAAGGGCCACCTGGAGCAGGAAAAAAAAAAACCACCCAACACTAAGCTCGTAATGGAAATATAACAAAAAACACATTTTTCAACACCAAGTAAATGGTCCATTTACGAGGCCGAGCAGGAGTACAGCATGAATAAAAACGTAAAGAACGAACACTGTGCAAAGCCAACGACACAGAGCACAGACATCCCGGGGTGGCACGCCCAGACCGCTGCGTTGTCGCCTGCGTCTGCAAAGGCACCCACGGGACCCCGTGTGGTGGGCGCCCTTCTCCTCGGCCGCCGGCGTGTCTGTGCGTGGGAAGGAGCGCCAGGTCCCCCTGCCTGGCTGGGGCCGTCCCACGAGACGTGGCCCGGCAACTTAAAAGTGCGTGAGAATCCTCTGGACCTGGCCCGCGTGCCCGGCCGGACGCTTCCCTGGGGGCGGGGCTGCCCCATGCACTCCGCGATTCGGGGCCGCACCCCTAGTCTCCGCCCCCTGCCGGCCAGGAGCTCCCTCCCTCTCCGCTGGTGGGTTGGGACCGCCAAACACGCCTCCAGGCATTGCCAGCGGCCCCCTGCCAAACGCCACCCCCCCACGCCCACCCTAGGTGCGAACCACCATTCTGAGGCGGAACCGAGGCGGCCACACATCGGACCAGCACCTGTGCCCCCAACACACACCTGCACGGCTCATTTTGCTGGATGCAGCCGGGTGAACCCAGTCCCACGCTCTGGGTCATTGTCCCTCCCAATCTCCTCCCTACAAAACAAATGAACACTTGCTCCCTTAGCCGTGCAACTGTGGGGGACCTCCCTGCGCACCCCTCGCCGCCCGGTGGATGTTGGATCTGTTCCTTGCTTCAGTCCACGGCCTGCTAGGGAGAGTGTCCAGCAGCTTTTCACTGAGCCTGCCTGGTTTAACGTGGCTTCTCCTCACGCCAGATGGGACAAGGCACGTCCCGGGAACCCGCTGGCCTCTGCATGAACGCGGTTCACCCCTAAAGCCAGTCCAGACCCCAACGTGGCCTTCCTCAGCCCACCCAGCTGAGCCCTGGGGAGCCAGAGCAAACTAGTAAAAGCAAGAAATGCACGCCTGTTTCTGTGAGCCTCTGAATCAGAGGGCTGTTTGTTACGCACCAGCACAGCAGCAGAAAGCTGACTGATACACTCCTACAGTATGTTTGAACCAAAACGCTCGTGAACGAGTGGGCACGACGATGATTCTTGGGTGTCTGTGCCCACCCACCTTCGTCCACTCTTTCATGACGTCACGAGCCCTCGTCCATTGATTCAGGCCCCATGAAGGAGGAACACAGGGCATGTTCCAAGTCCTGGGTGCGGGGTGCACCCCACCCGCCACCTGCCTGTGCCCCAGGGATGCTGCAGTCCCCACAGCTGACTCAGTCTAGGACACACTATGCCCAGGGTCCCCAAGACACCCCCCAAGCTGAGGGTACCTGAGAGAGAAGAGAGAACCCGCACATGCAATGGCATTGTCCACAAGTGGCCCCGACATTCCCGTCCTCTCCGAGACGGAAAGCAGCTCCAGGAGGCGCTTGGGGTGCGGCAGACTCCGTGAGGGGCTGCACCCCTGGGAAAGGCAGGCCCCCGTATCCAATGGTCCCAGAGCACCGAACTGTCCACGGAGTAGACAGCGACCATTCACTGAACACCCAAGGCCCGCAGGCCTCAGAGGAAGGAGCAAAGACTCAGACACAAAGGAAACGCATCTCTCCTTGTAGAGTCATATATACATAGCCCCTGGGACGGTGAAATGGGACCTTCTGTGGCAGAGAGACTGCGGTGAAGGCTCCGGAGATGCAGAGGTGACCCTGTGCCATCTGGGGGGGGTGGGTCCGCTGTCACCCCAGGAGCCCTCGGAAGGGGGGCAGCTTTCCAGGCCGCGGCCACAGGGGGCTGCCACTTTGGAGGGACAGTCGAGGAGAAGCTACACTGTGCGGGCTTTGAGGACGGGAGAAGGGACCGCAAACCAGGGAGCACAGGCAGAAACTGAGTCACAACGACAAGGCAAACAAACCCCAGGAAACGGGTCCTCCCTGAGAGCCTCGGGAACAGAACGTGGCGGCCCAGCCAACACGGGGACACCCATTTGCGACCTCTGTGCTCGACGACTGTAGGATAGTCAATGGGAAGAGAGATCCCTCGGGTCCCTCTGGGGTCAGCTGTGGCAGCAGGGACAGGAGAGCGACCCTCGATGACAAGAAAAACGCCGACCGAGAAAACGCCCGTGACGCCAGCCTTCCCAGCCAGCCCTTCACGATGACAGGCTCAGATGCGTCAGAAGGTGGGGGACCCGTGGGTGACGAGAGACATGAACACAGGCTTCTATAAATCCAGCGATGGTGGAAGCCGGGGCTGTGGCGTCTGGTGGGAACCCCACGACCTCCAGGCTGGAAGGCGCATCATCACATGGGACCCCTTAGGGGAATCCGAACCGTCCCAGGCCTGGTCCCGGGAAAGGCCATCCAGAAACCTCACCCAGAAAGGCAGCAGGAGGCCGCAGGTGCAGCCGCCACGGGCCCCAGCTGTCCCCTCCGCTCCTCTCTGCGGGGGAGGCTGAAAAAACTCAAGATTGCGGTCACCCCCGAGTCCCACATGGAGCTGAACGGACACCAGCGTTCGAAGCAACGCTGTATCTGCGCAGCATTCTCCACCTTCTGTGTCCCCGGAGAGGGGCGGCCGGGTCCGGTTTCCTCGGCCCACGACATCCTTCCGCCTCAACTCCAGGGGCCTGACCCCAAGCCTCACCCTCCGACCCCCAGTGTCCCCAGGAGGGCAGCCAGAAGCGGCCCCGGGCACTGCCGCCGCGGAGAGCGTCAACAATGCCCCGCGGAAGACGCCAGGTGCTGCCCGGGTCCCTGAACATGAAACCGTCAGGGAAGGCGAATCCAGAGGGGTGGGGGAGGGGTGGGCCACAGTGGGGGCTGGGGGCACCGGGGGCTGGGCAGGGATGGC